TCTTAGTCGGTGTAGTATCTTAAATAAAAAAAAAAAAAAAGAAAAAAAAAAGACCTCCAGATATCAATGAATTAATTGTCTTTACGATGTTTCTCCGATGTGCCGCTCAACAAAGCCGATGTGTTCTCCCTTGTAGGTGAAGCGGGAACTGGCGAGCGTCGTTATCTTCGAGTCGCACGCTAAAGCCGGAACTGTGTGTAGGTCTTGACTTTGCCGCAGACTCCAATTCCTGTTCCTTTTCGCGACACGTCTTCAAGCCATGCGGAATTGTGTTGTTGCGTCCCCCAACAGTGTTCAACCAAGGAGAAGAGGGCACCTCATGGTACATCATCCAGAAGGGCTCCGTTAATGTGGTTATCTATGGCAAGGTGGGTTCAATACTTAATCCATCATTCCCATTTTAACAGTGCAAACAGACAAGCAGAGGCTCGAAGAACACCAGCAGAGTTCTTCTAAATCCAGTCGTGACGTCGCTGCGAAGTGGCTTTGAAAGCAAATTCAAACAACGATTCACTTTTGCAACCACCGTGGAGGGAGATGCAGCACATTTCTGCAGGCTTTCGGAATCTTTTGAAGATTGTTGCAAACCCGTGTGTGTGTGTGTGTGTGTGTCAGGGGGTCGTGTGCACACTCCACGAGGGCGACGACTTCGGAAAGTTGGCCCTGGTTACAGATTCACCTCGCGCTGCCTCCATTGTCTTAAGAGAGGACAACTGCCACTTCCTTCGTGTGGACAAGGAGGATTTCAACAGGATTCTCAGGGTACGCGGATGGATCATAACCGGATGGCTGTGACCGTGTAAATAAACATAGGAGATGAATATCAATACGGCACTTTTATTATCGCGACGGTACAACAAAAAAGAATAAAGAGCTTTTTTTTTTTTTTAAATCCAGTTCGGTTCAGGATTCTTTGGAAATGTGCTAAAATGAGATGTGTCCTAATGGGGGGGTGTAGAAACACAACTAGCGGTTCTGTTTCTTGCTCAAGGTCACCGGGGTCAGGTAGCAGACTCTCGATTGTCTGAACTGGAGCATCACGTTCGGCGGATCATGTTAGCATCTGATTTTTGTCTCCCTCGTCGAACATTTCAAATATGCGACCGAATCGTGTTCTGGTCTTAATTGCAGGACGTGGAGGCCAACACAGTGCGTTTGAAAGAGCACGAGCAAGCTGTGCTGGTTTTAGAAAAGAGTCCTCGAGCCTCCACCCTGGGAAGCATCAAGTATACATGTTATAAAAAAAAAAAAAAAAAATACATACACAATGTCACCATTGGTTCTCATGGAAGAGTTGGAATTTATCATCATCATCAGTTTTTTTTTTTTTTGGTGCAGGTACACTGTGATCTCAGGCACTCCGCAGAAGATTCTTGAGCACTTTTTGGAGACCATGAGAATGGACATACATCACAGTGAACCAGGTTGCTAAACAAAACACACACACGCAGATAAATGGCCTCACAAGTCGGAATCTATTGATTCGCTTTCCTCTTCCCTGCCCTCGGATTCTTCTTCATTTTGGCTCTGTATTTCTTCTTCTTCTCAGACCCGGCGGTGGACGATTTTGTCCTCATGCATTGCGTCTTCATGCCCAACAGCCAGCTGTGCCCTCTACTCATGGCCCAATATTCTTTTCGGCTTTCGCCTCTGTACCTTTGTCTGCCTCTGTGGTATCGGTGGTGCATTTTTGTTGTTGTTGTTGTTGTTGTTGTTGTTGATATTGTAGTTCCCGCGTGCACCTACCATGCGGCCTCCCCGCCCGGCTCCGAACAAGAGCGCTTGGAGCATGCGCTCAACTGTAAGAGGAGGGTTCTCATTCTGGCTCAGCGCTGGGCTAACACGCACACATTTCTCCTCCAGGAAGAGCCTGCTGCAATTTCTTTCCTCGAGGTAACAACGGCGTGCTCTCTAAATCAAGCCGCTCTGAGATTATATTTGAGTTCATCAATAGTGTCCCAACGATGAGTGACGTTTTTTTTTCTGCGCTCTGCAGGAGTTGTTTGGAAGTGTATCAAACGATGCGCGGATGCTCAGGGCGTTGAAAGACTTGCTTCCCGACCTGGAGAAAGTTGTCAAACTGCAGTAGGTTTCCACTTGTGTATCTTAAACTGACACACGTGCCCCACTCGGATTTATTTTGTTAACACTGGGTCACTACCTTTTTTTTTTTTTTTTTTTTTTTTTTTTTTTGTAGTTCAGAGGAAGCCAAGGCCACAAAAAAGGCACGTCAATGTCAAACACATTGCCCGGAGTTGCAATCGCGGTGCTGCGTGTGCTGACTGTGCTGACTGTGGCTTTTCATTCAACAGAAGACTTTAATACGGCAGTTCAGCAACGGTGAGGAGAGGCTGCAGAAGAAACAGGCCATTAGAAATCAAGATGACAGTAAGTGACTGTGAGGCGGGATTTAAAACAATCAGCTGCTTGGGTATCATCAACTCTTTTTTTTTTTTTTCTCCAAAAATCCTGAATGTGCAGTCAGTTCACTTTTGCCCGTGTCTCATGATTCCTTTTGGCACTGACACCAGGTTGTAGCTGCACAATTAGTGGTATAGATGGCTCTTGTTTCTTTCAAGATGTTTCCCAGTAGTTGTCATGCTATCATTGTGTTTTTTACTGTGCACATGTAGGCTGTCTCTACAAATGCCCCTTCTGTACCATCGCAAGGCCGAAATATCGAAAACAACCCTCACTGTGCTGCATCAAGGTTCTAAACATGTAAATTACACGGAAGCCCTGCCAGTTGCAAGGGTTAGCGAAAATCGGCGAATAATTGAGGACATTTAGCCTGTCGATGCCACAAAATAGCTGCAAAGTACTATTTTTTTGTCCAAATGAAACTCCTCAATTTATGGCAAATCACAATTATTGTCCAAATGAAACTCCTCAGGTAACTTGGCTCCAATTTCTTCATAGTAAGGTGCGACAAAATGGTACTCAGCTCACTTCAATATCGTCCCTTGACACCATGGCACCACAAGCAGCCACAAGAGGGGGGCAAAGCATTATTTTTGAGATGCCACACTGTGGTGCTAAACTAGTAGTAGCTATTAAGTACACTCTGAAGTCTTATCAAATTTGTGTTATGTGCTAGTTCTATTGAAGGTGTACTGCAGTGACCACACATACACCACCATTCGAGTTGCCGTTGCCGCGACGGGCAGGGAAGTGATATGTGCCGTGGCCGACAAACTTGGTTCCACTGACGAGCTCGTGCTGGTTCACCTCAGCTCAGCTGGCGGTAAGACGAAAAATTGAGACACGACTCCGGCGCACGTTCTTCTCAGGAGTGATTTGATTGACATGATGCGCTGCCAATTTGCATTACAGAGAAACAAGTCCTGAAGCCTAATGTTGTCTCGGTGTTTTCTTCTCTGAGCATCAACGGGCGATTATTTGCCTGTGCACGGGAGCAACTCAGTAGTCTGGTAAGTCGGGAATTATCCCTGTTGGCTCTCTGTGGTAGTTTCACTCAACGGCCAAAAATTCAGAACCCATCTGTAAGAGCTATTCCCTGTTCCTCAGCAGATTCACAACTTGTGGAATTCCTTTTGGAACCCATCCATTGAAATTAGCTTCTTTTTTTTTTTTTTTTGTGCTCAGGCGAAAGCCCGTGTATTTGTGTTGGTGCCATCAGTGTCGAGAAACTATTGAAGTGAGCTGAGTAGCTTCGTCTTGACAAGCGCTCACTGCTGCCATCTTGTGCCAAGGAACTATGTTGACGAGAGTTTAGGCGCTTCATTAAGACAAAAGATGTGCTCTGCCACCATCGTGTGGCATCTTGGTGTCAAGCACCTACGCTGAAATGTACAAAAGTATCGCTTGGGTGCCATTTTGTGGCATATCAGGGCCAAGGAACTATGTTGAAATGATTGAGGTGCTTCATTTGGGAGAAAAACTCATGTTTTTCCGCCATCATGTGCTATTGATAGGTCATTTCTTGGGGCATCAATCACTCACAGATTTTTGCTACTTGCGGCAGGCCAGGAAGTAGGGTAAATTTTGTAGTTTAGTTAATAAATCTAACAATCATTTAGGATATGAAATTCATGCATCATCAGCGATGACCAATTTTTGTGATTTCATGATGTGATTTCAGACTCCCCTCGCAGACCAGGAGGGACCCTCGGCAGGTTCGATGTCGACTTTTGAGCTGATGAGTTCGAAGGATCTCGCTTATCAAATGACAATGTTTGACTGGGAGCTCTTCAGCTGCGTGCACGAGGTACCACACGACACACAACGCAAATAGATACCCAGTCACGGAAGTATATCTTGCACATTTCACTGGTTACATATTCACCTTCTGGCTGATGACCCAAATATGCCACAAGGTGGCACAAAAGCTCAGGTCTAAACAGGAAGGTAGTCAAGTTGCACAGTAAATGATCAGCTGTTTCATAAATGAACCATTCTACGGGATTTGCACACATGAACTGATGTGTTTTGTTGCTCCTCAAAAGCTGAGTCACACCATGTCCGCACAACCCACAGCACGAACTGCTCTATCACACGTTTGGCCGCCAAAGCTTCCGAAGAACCACGGCTAACCTGGACCTGTTCCTGCGAAGGTTCAACCAGGTTCAGCTCTGGGTGGTCACCGAGGTGTGCCTCTGTGGACAGCTCAGCAAGAGGGTCCAGCTCCTCAAGAAGTTTATCAAGATAGCCGCGCAGTGAGTGGGACGAACGCCTTCATATGGTCAAATCCGAGAAATGATGATCGTTAAAAAAAAAAAAAAAGGACATTTTTTTTTTCTTTGTGTTCAATTGAATGCGGATTTAGTTTTGTCTCTGTCTTTAGCTGTCGGGAGTTTAAGAACCTGAATTCGTTTTTTGCCATCATCATGGGCATGAGCAACCCCGCTGTAAGCAGACTGAGTCAGACATGGGAGGTAAACACCAATTCATGTTTGGAACTGCCCATTTTCACCACGCGGCAAATGTTCACGTGTAATGTCTTTGCTTATCAGAAGCTGCCGACCAAGTTTAAGAAGTTTTACGCCGAATTTGAGAGCATGATGGTGAGTCGCAGATTGCAAGTGAGAACGTGGGAATATTCATTCGTTTTATTCGTGATTGATGTTGTTGTTACGTTTTATGTTCAGGACCCATCCAGAAACCATCGATCCTACCGACTAACCGTGACCAAACTTGAGCCGCCAATCATCCCTTTTATGCCCCTCCTACTTAAAGGTAGCATTCTTGGAGAGCAGATTTTGTTTTGGATCTCATCACACTCTTAATGGAAAATGTCATTGCAGATATGACTTTTACACATGACGGCAACAAGACATTCATTGACAGCATGGTCAATTTTGAGAAAATGGTAAGTCAAATTTCTTATTGACATCCTGAATTTTGTACAATGCTCACACGAAGTTAGGAAAGGATTAAAATGCATTTTAGCTTCATCCTGAAGTTCCACCCGAATGCCAGATACATTTTAAGTTTTTTTTTTTTTGAAAAGGCAAACGGCACTCTACAGTAAAAGCCATCCTTTTTCCCCGAAACATAATTTAATAGACAGCACAGATTTACAGTTTGTGCATCATGGTTAAATTACTTCTGGTGCCAGAGTGCAGTATAATAAAGTCATGCAGACACAAATGGAGAAAAATTTCACAAAATAAGTGTTGCGAGCCAAGTATTGTAAAACACTGCCACTTAGAGGCTGTTTATTCGCCCGATGGCCTTTCCAACTGTGTGTCAGTTTGACTTCAGCTAGCAGAAGTGATCAAAGTTATGTGGTTGTTTTAAATACACCACATACAATATCATTGTCTAATATCTAGAAAAAAAATTTGCATGTCAGGGCACGAGCACTACGGTGGTGCCTTCACTGTATCATGAAGTATGAATGAGTAGTACATATGCTTTAAAGTTCGAATAACATTTGGGCTCTCTCTTTATCAGCGTATGATAGCAAACACAATTCGACAAGTGAGGCACTGTAGAAGCCAGCCTTTCAGTAAGTCTCCTCATTCAATTTTTTTTCTTTGAATGCGTTTCAAGCAGTGTCTGCGAGACAAACACAGCATCTCTTTTTCTCTTCTAGATCCTGACATCTGCCAACCCAACAAGCCATTCCATTTTTTTTTCTTTGAATGCGTTTCAAGCAGGCTCGCAGACATACACAGCATCTCTTTCTCTCTTCTAGATCCTGACATCTGCCAACCCAACAAGAATCAGGCGGAGGTTAGAGGCTACGTCAGGAAGCTCTGCGTGATCGACAACCAGAGGGCGCTGACGCAGCTCTCCTACCGGCTGGAACCTCGGCGGACATGAGACTCGAATCTTTTCACCACCGTCGCCTTCCTTGTGACTCCACACAAAGCGGACGCGTCAGCAACTACGCGCTAAGTAGCAACACACAAACAGTCAGTGACTTTGAAAACTCGAGGGACAAATACTGTGCCATCAAAGGTCTCTTCCTATCGCCGTGTCTTAGCCCCATGCCAGAATGAGGCTTAATACCGTAGTAGTTGTTACCGTTTTGGGACCTGTTAGAACTTGAATCAATATCCTGCATGACTGAACTTCATAGACTTGGTGTTCTATACAGTGGATTTCTATCAGCGTGTCCTGCAATGTTGTGCTAGCCAAATGCTCCAAATGTTCCAAAGTGAAGTATAATTGATGTTTCTTAAGCGCCATACTCACTACAGAATCGCCATTTATCCATTTATCTCAAGATAGCGGGACAAGGACTAATATTGGAGCTCAGTTGGGGACCGTCTCTGCCTCTTCTTCTTGCTCTTAATTACGCTGCACATTTTCCGGTAGACCTCAGTGCTTTATTTTTTTTCGTCTTGAGTTTTGACCCCCCCCCCCAAAAAAAAAGAGTGATGAGCACTATATGGTGATAAGAAACTTCACAGAAATCAGCACATCATGAGGTACTTCAAGAGAGAGGCCAACAAAACCACTAGCCTAATGCTAACATCCAATGCAAAATGTCATAGGCAGGCTAATAAAACGAGCATTGTTATTGCAACAAAAATGGCATAATATTCATTGGCATGTTTTTCTTTTTTTAATCATCTGCCAAAATGATGAATAGGACTGAGTCGCTCAGTTGTGAAACTCTTCCTGGTGTGCGTCTCAATGTCTGTATTACGCTGACCCCTAGTGGTCAAGGTGCACACACAAGAAGGAGCACAATTTGTGGCTGGAACAAATGAAAAACATTTCCATTCACTTCAGTAGAGAAACATGAATTGAGAAGTCACGAGTGTGGTCACTGAATGAAAAAAACTCAAGACACCACTGCATACTTTAAAACCCATTTTTTCAAAATGCTAAAAAAATCCGGGATATTGCGGCGGCACAAACTATAATGTAGCGGGAATGTCATATTCCATTTATGAACACATTAAACAAAAACTGATTTCCGTCCATCCACTTGCTGAACTGCTCGTCCTCACTCGGCGCATCAAAATATTGGTTTTGATTTCAAAGATGAGTCGCACGGAATTGAATCAGCCCACTTTAAAATACATCAAGATACATATGACCCTAATATATGTGTGTGTGTGTGTGTGTGTGTGTGTGTGTGTGTGTGTATACGAATCGTCCCACTTCAAAATAAACCGTCCTTGAACTGTTTCGCGCCAGGTGTATCGATACAATATCGTCTCCTATTTTATTGAAGAGATGCTTTCCCCTAACAATCGGCCTAAAACGCCTGCTAGCCGTTGGCGATGTTGCTTGTTCGGATCTGTTCTAAAGCTTATCATTTCAGGAGAAATCTTGCCGACGTTTGCATTTGTATTCTGTTTGTTTGTTTCTTTGTTTTGTTTTATTTATTAGGTACGTGTCGGTTTTGGGTGTGATTTTGACAACTGTGATTTATTTTTCATTTGATCTCAGGAGCTTTAAATGTGGTTGGTGTGTATCGAGAACTGCCCAGTGGCTTGCTTCCGTCATGAGCAGCTGGTTATCTGTGCTGTACATGTGAATAAAAATCGCTAATTTAACAGATGCCTCGACTTCGTGACATTTGTCAAGAAATTGGAGAAATGTTAATTGTTATAAGCAGACTTTCAAGCAACACTCGGATAGTTGATAAAAACCTTCCTTTGTTATCAATATGCCTTCCCTGTTGCAAATATATTTCTACATTGTGGGACTTCCCGTCCAGTAAACCTCATTCTATTTCCCTCACTGCGTCGTATGACAAGAATATCCTACTACGTCGGTCTTGAGATGCACATTAGCCATTAAGAATCCTTTTAGGAAATTACTTTTGGACTTAATGTTTTTGCTCAATATTTTACGTTTTTTTTTTTTACTTGTTCTGGTAAAATCCTTGAGAGGCCTCCGAATTATACGAGATTAATGTTAACCATTGAGAATTCTCCACAATTGATCTCACCGGTCCCCTTCCGCTCAGTGATGTCAAACTGCTTTCCTGCCTGCTGATGTCACGGTGGGGGGTGGAGGCGGGGTGGTTGAATATTTCTTCCACTGCCATGTGGATGCACAATTTGAGAAGTATCATGGAGGATGTGTGGTAGCCATGCTTGTTGCTCACTGATTTACTGTCTGTCACGTTATGGTCTGGGAGTTTGTGTGTGGTTCTCTGCCTGCGTGTGTGTGTCTGTATGTGTGTGTGTGTGTGTGTACGTGTTTAAGTGTGCACTCACGCAGTGTAGAGAAAGCTTTATATAGCCACACTCATCCAGGAAGGAGGAATGCCCTGGATGCCACTGACCATATTTGAACAGCGAGTCTGCTGCAGAGTGCACGCAGCAAACCGTAACTGAGACACGGTGGTGGCAGAAGTACTCACACTCTGTCCTTGCGTAGAAGTTAAGATCAGCTTGTTTAAAAACAAAGCAAAACAAAACAAAAAAATAACTCCTGTACAACAAGTAAAAAAAAGTGCATCTTTAAATGTATTTATACTGCTAAATATATCAAATATGGATTTGGATAATTTGGCACAATGGGAAGATAAACTTCTCCGCACACAAAATAGTTTCCCTCTTTTTGCACCTTACATAGCGCTCAGACAAAAAAAAAATGTTTACGTGTTGCAAGCTACATTTAGTCTAACTTACTTTGTAGTTGATACTTTAACGTAAGTAACAAAACAAACGAAGCTCTGGCCTCCCTGTGTGGAGTTTGCATGTTCTCCCCGTGCCTGTGTGGGTTTTCTCCGGGTACTACATGCATGGCAGATAATGGAACACCCTAAATTGTCCCTAGGTGTGAGTGTGAGCGCGGAGGGTTGTTTGTCAATGGATGGATGGAGTTTGCTAGCCTTTGCTTGAAAATTCAACCCTGCAGCGACTGATTACGACCACCGAGACGCACTAGCTCACTGCCCTCTCCCATCACAGCATTTAGTGTGTGCTCAGGGTTGTAATTCCACCACTCTCCACTACTTGGCGATATAACACCTTTCACAAGCCAGGCCGTGCCTCCTGCAGACTTTTGACAGACCCCAAACCCCCTCCACCAGCGCTTCTCTCAGTCTTTCCAGCACTTTCTGGTTTCTTCTCAGTGACTAAGTCGCCCCCGCCGACTTACCGACCGACAACATCCGCGCTCATCCTCGGTCCTCATCCTCTGTGTCCAAAGATCACGGTGCGGGTCGAGCGTGCACGCTTTGGGGGAGAGTGTGTGTGTGTGTGTGTGTGTGTGTGCGCGCGTGCGCGTGTGTGTACGTGTGTATGTGTGTGTGCTGGCGTGTGAGAGCCAGTATGCCATGTCGTCCCCCGGCTCGTCGTTTGTCCAGATAAAGCACGAGGACCTGCTCTACTATGAGAACTGTGGAGGAGGCAGCTTTGGGAGCGTCTACAGGGCCCTCTGGATTTCCAAAGACAAGGAAGTGGCAGTGAAGAAGCTTTTGAAGATTGACAAAGAGGTAGGGCATCCGTCGACACATTCATAGACACGCACTCGTTGATCACGGCAAATTTGGGCAATACTTGAACAATCCGAAAATCAAAAAGCTTCCTCTGAGGCTTGAAACCAGAGCAAGACTCCCTTTCCAGATTCCCAGAGAGCCCCCCCACCCTCCCCACCACCACTTCCCTGTTGTCAGCCAAGTGTTTATCTAAAACATACCTCAATGTGTGTTCCCCGCCCTCCCAACACTTTATGGAAGAAGAAATTATTCATACCCGGTTCCTCCTTTTTATACATTTGGGCAAAAATGTAGTCATTCGAGGACGCGGCGTCGTCAGACTTGGGTGTCACCCCACAAGGGGAATCCACTCATAATTTCCAGCCGTGCTATTAATATCAAAATAGTACAGGGGTTGTCAACCTCGGCGGCAGGAAGTTGGCTGACCCGTGGGCGAAGGCGCATGTTGGTATTTGGTATTGTTGCGGCAGCGCAAGGAAACAAATGTCGCCTAAAAGTATGTCTGATGGTGGGGGGATTCAACAAAGAGTTGGCTGATTAATTGTCAGACTTGTTTCTTTCGCGGCGGGCAGATAATGGAAAAACGTGTGTATTGAGGTCATCCGTCTCCACACGCTAATGGAAGGAATCCTTCAAACGCATTCCTGCAACGCTGAATGTAAACGGGGGCTTAGTTTTACGAGCGACGTTTCAACTTGTCTTCGATATCTTCGAAGTGCGCTCAGATTCGCAACATAACTGCCGTCGGGCACGAGCTGCGCTGCAGAGAAGTCATTCGGCGAAAGGGGATGAAAAGGCTGCAATTCTTCCGGGACTAAATGCAGTTTAAGAAAAAAAAAAAGAGAGAGTACAGATTAAAGAGAAATAGGCAGGCGTTCGGGGCAATTTTTAGTGCAATTTAGCAGAATGGATGAGGAGTTATTACGTTGCCTAGCAACAGACACTTATTTGACATTTGCAGACCGGTTTCAGTTCAGACAGCATTTCTCATCCTTTATTGTGCCGAGGAACATATTTGGAAAAAAAACAAAAAACAAAAAACGATTCTCTCAGCATACCACCAAACAAAATGCCACAAAAAGCGCCAACCAGATTAAGGAGATGCTCTATTTTTTTATTTTTTTATTTTTTTAATTGAACCAGGTTGGTAATACGACATACTTCATTTTTGTCCCAACAGATCAAAGAAATGCATCTCGCTACATGTATTTTAGAGTTAACACCACTACAAAGTGCTTAGAGTGTCATCATGAGAATGCAACAGAATAACGAATGGCCAAACATTTGCAAACATGCCAGTACAATGATAAAAATGTGTGTACTTCATTTTATACCAGGACCGGTAGTCCGCGGACTGGTCCAAAGTCGATCGCGAGGGGGGTGCAGAGGGGGAAATGGAAAAAAGAAAGATTTGTGTGCCTGGGTAGGTGTGGGCAGCCAGACAATGAGCTCCGTGGATGTGTGTGGCGGATGCCATCGGAATTCATTCATAAATATGACAGCCGTGTGCAACGAACTCTCTGAATTCTTCGAGTAATAGATGAATTGAATTAATTATTATTATTATTACTGTCATCTGTAATCTAATTTTAATGCAGCCTCCTGACCGTTGCACAACTACTGGCTTAAGGGCATTTTTGCCACCGTGGTGTCAAGACTCCGACTTGGCACCGATGACGCAAAACAGTTCAGCGATTGAGCTTGTAACTCGTACGCTGCACAGGGCATCAAAATAAAGATTTACACTTGATGATCTCAAAGATCAAGTTTCCTTGTTGCAGTCACGGGAGCGGAGGAGGTTAATAATGTCTCTCTCTTGGC